GTGCCATTATTATTATTATTATTATTATTATTATTATTATTATTATTATTATTATTATTATTATTATTATTAATAATAATAATTTTGTTGTTATTACTATTACTATTATTACTATTGGTTAATCTTTAGTGAGATTCACAGCCTTTGGGGCTGGTTGATAGCTCAACAGCTCGAGTTCTAACCAGGAACTGTTCAGGTCGCGTCGGAGGATAAAAGCTGTTCCAAGTAGGGTGGCTTTTTGTAGAATCAGGGTATTCAAGTCTGATAAATTCAGGATTTCCAAATAGCGAGGCAGCCCTTTAGGTATTTTGCTCCAAGAGCTCCAGTCACAATTGGGATAACACGCAACTTCTTTTTCCAAAGTTGCTCAACTTCAATTTGTAAGTCCCAGTACTTTGTGGTTTTTTTTTCTTGCTGCGTGTCTACAATTCGTGCATCACAAGGTATTGCAGTATCAATGAGCCAAACATCATCATCATTATTCTACACAAAAAATGACAGTATACACAGCAAACAAAATAACTATGCTGAGTTTCATATCACAAATCACTAGTCGAACACTTCCCAGGCATTTAGGATGCTAATAATCATCATCATCATCATCTTTCGTGAGATTCACGGCCTTTGGGGCTGGTTGGTAGCACAATAGCTGGAATCCTAAGCAAGGACCTAGGAACTGTTAAGTTATTGTTATTATTATTATTATACACAAAAAACGACACTGTACACAGCAGACGAGACAACCATGCTGGGTTTCGTATCACAAATCACTAGTCGAACCCTTCCCAAGTGTTTAGGACTGCGTGATGTATGGGCGGATTATGCGAGCAGATCCCAGTAAGGTGGCCTTCTGCAGCTGACCAAGGGTGATCTGGTCAGCGTCAATTGTTTTTAAGTGCTTGCCTAGGTCTTTAGGCACAGCAGCACCCAGTGTGCCCAGTACCACTGGAACCGCCTCCACTGGTTTATGCCGGAGTCTCTGCAGTTCGATTCTCAAGTCCTGATATCTGGTGACTTTTGCAAGTTGTTTTTCGTCGATTCTGCTGTCACCAGGTGTGGCCATGTCGACCATCCACGCTTTTTTCTTCTCCACAATCGTGATATCCGGGGTATTGTGTTCCAGAACTTTGTCGGTCTGTATTCGGGAGTCCCACATTATTATTAATCTTTGGTGGGATTCACAGCCTTTGGGGCTGGTTGGTAGCTCAACAGCTCGAGTCCTAACCAAGGACCTAGGAACCGCTCCGGTAGCGTCAGAGGGTAAAAGCTGTTCCAGGTCCGGCGGTTTTTTGTAGAATCAGACTGTTATTCTGTTAATGAATCAGTGGAAAGACTCTCCCCCCCCCCAAGAAGTTGTGGGTGCTCCCATCAGTGGATGTTTTGAAGAAGAGCCTGGACAGACATTTTACCTGACTTGCTATGGGGTCTCCTGCCTGAGCAAGGGGCTGGACTAGAAGACCTCTGAAGGGCCTTCCCGTTCCGTTATTCTCTCAAAGCAGATTCTTCTGGATTTGTGAAAGGGGGTGGTGGTTGGATGGACTCTGTGTGTGTGTGTGTGTGTGTGTTGAGATAAGAATGAGAGGGCTCCAAATTCTTGGCCCAGCCTCAGCCAGATGGCTCAGGGCAACAGCTGAGCGGGGTGTCTGCCTGCCCTCCGGCCTCTGCTCCCTACACTTGGGGGGTCTCAGCCCAAGGCTGCCTCCCCCCTGCAGGGAGGAGCAGAACGGCCACTGGCCTGGCCCTGCCTCCACCCACTGGTTGGAAGTAGCTGGTGCCAGCTGCTCTCTGCCCGGCCTTCTCCGTGGGGCCGGGGTGGAGGGGGGTGTAGAAACCCTGGTTAACCAGGTGGCAAAGCAGCCCTGCAGCACCATGGCCAGTTCCCAGGGCTGCAGGCGCTCCGCTGGCGCTGGGAGCGAAGAGGAGGTGGAGGGACAGAAGGAAGGAAAGGAGAGGAAGGAAAGAAGAAAGAGGAAGGAAAGGAGGGAGGGAGGGAGGAAAGAGGAAGGGAAAGAGAAGGAAGGAAGGAAGGAAGGAGGTGGAACGAAGGAAGGAAAGTGGAAGGAAGAGGAAGGGAGAAAGGAAAGAAGAGAAGGAAGGAAGGAAAGAAGAGGAAGGAAAGAAGAAAGAGGAAGGAAAGGAGGGAGGGAGGAAGGAAGGAAGAGGAATGAAGGAAAGTGGAAGGAAGAGGGAGGGAGGAAGGAAAGAAGAGGGAGGGAGGAAGGAAGAAGAGAAGAGGAAGGAAGGAAAGTGGAAGGAAGGAAGGAAGGAAGGAGGGAAGGAGGGAGGAAAGAGGAGAAGGGAAGGAAGGGAGAAGAGGAAGGAAGCCGCCGAGGGGCGGCTGCACATCTATCGTGACTAGCGCAAAGTCTGTTTAATGATGCAGGGAGCATAGAACACATCGTAGTAGGGCTGGTAGGGCCCTCAGAGGTCCTCTACTCCAACCCCCCTCTTCCCAAGCAGGAGCCTCCAGCTACGGAGCAGCCACAACCTCTGGAGGGAAGCCATTCCACTGATTATGATAACGTGTTTCCCCCCCCAAAATAAGACCTTGTCATTCATATATTACTTGTTTTACTGTTTATCTTAGTTATACAGTTAATTGGTAGTTAGTTGGTAGTGGAATTTATAATTCCAGGCGGGGATTGTGCTGTCCAGACAGTATATAGGTAATTGGGAATTGAGATAGTGAAGGTAGAATTGGGAGCTGTCCCCTTAAGGGAATGCCTCATGGGAAATGTAGTTAATGCCTCATGGGAAATGTAGTTCAAGTCATGTGGTCACACCTGTAATCCTGATTGGTCACTGAATTGACCCTTGGTTGGGTTGGGGGAGTTTCCTTTACTCCTGCTTGGTGGTGCTGGTGCCTCACCTCCCTTGCTCCATAGTTATGGGATGAAAGGTCACTATTCTTTCACACTATGAGGTCAGCTATGCAAAGAATTGGACATTAAGATGAATCTCGGCGTAAGTTATATTTGAGGATGCCTTGTGACCCAATGAAGAAACTTTGTATGGAAGCCTTTGTAGAGTTTAATCTTGGCGTGTTCGGGTCTTTTCCCGTGTAAGATTGAGAGCATCTTGGCAACGTTTCGACGAGGTCCCACTCGCCATCTTCAGGCTGGTGCTTTCAGGTTCGTGCTTGTGCGAGCAAAGCGTGACCGGAGCTACGTCTCCCTATATATACTGGTGGGGAGGTCGGCTGTGTTGTCATTTCTTGATTGGTTGATGGAGTTGATGTTTGCAGATTGTCTGGCTTTTTCGTAAGAACATGTGTGGCTGTGGTATTGGCTGTGTGTCTATCAGCCTCCTGTGTTGTAGACCTGGGTAATGGACTGTGTGATGACCTTCTGAGTTCTATTGTTGTGACATCCTGGGTCTTGTGCTGTAATCTCCTGGGTCATTGGCTATATATTATATATATAGGTCCATTATCTATCTATCTATCTATCTATCTATCTATCTATCTATCTATCTATCTATCTATCTATCTATCTATCTATCTATCTAGGATTCCCTACCCCCCCAAATAAGCCCTAATTAAGATCCCGCCCACTGCAGACTGGAAGGGTAAAAAGCTAGGGTGCAGATGAGGGGGGGTGGAGCTGCCCTACTACTTACCTTTGGACAGGTATAGCCAGGCCTCCTACACCCCAACACCTGCCTTGCTGGCCCATTGAAAACCTCCAGCGATGGGAGCACCCACAACTTCTGGGGGGGGGGGGGGGG